AAATAATCATTTGCTTAAAAATTTTACTATGTTCTGCACTGAAATATGGAAAGCTCCCAGGTATGGTGGTGTATGAGTATAATTAGTGCACAGGAGGCTGAGGCAGGAAGAACTTGAGTCTGAAGCCAGACTGGGCTACTGTGATGATTTGAATGAAAACGTCCCCAGCAGCTCATATATTTCCATTCTTCGCCCCTAGCTGGCACAGTGTTTGGAAGGATAAGGAGGTATGACCTTGTTGGAGACAGTGCGTCCTTGCTGTAAGAGGTGTGTTGCTGGGGGTGTGCTTTGAGGTTCCAAAGTCCATGCCAGGCCCAGTGTCCCTACAGCCTGGGGATCAGGATGTAGCTCTCAAATACTTCTCACCACGTCTGCCCACAAGCCACCATGCTCTGCACAATAACGATAACAGATCAACCCTATAAAACTATAAGCAAGGCCCCAGCTAAATGGCTTCTTCCATAAAAAGTCTTGGTCAAGGTGTCTTTTCACAGAAACGAAGCAGTAAGACAGCTACATCGCAAGATCTTGTCTAAACAAACATGTGCATAACACACATGTGCCATAATCCAGCTATTATTCTGGAAGCCTACGAAAAGCAATATAAATGTATCATTTAACAACTCAGTAGTCATTCTGGCAACTTCATTAAGTGGTACTTAAATGAATTATTCAGTTCCCGAATCAACTGTATTTATGTTATCAGAACGTTACTATACTGATTTAACCAAGGTACTGAACTATGTAGTCTCGTCTAGGCAAAATGGCATAGACTCACTTTCCACTTAACCTAGAAGGGCCCATCCCTAGCCAGTAATATCAGAGTTGCTTTAGGAATCAGCCATCTGTAAACCCCCTTTTAGTTCTCTATAAAATCCTTTTAAATACCGCCACATTCGATGGCTTCCAAAACGTCTACAAACTGCTGTTTCCTCTGTGAAACATTCTACCTTCTCATAAGCATGTTTGAAATTTAAAGTACTTTATTAAACTGCCATGATCCATTACAGAGCTAGTATTTTTGTTGCTGTTTAATAGAAAAGGCATTTAGAATATAGACATAAAACTCACTCACTCCTCTGTATGAGTTCTAATGTTTCTAAAGATGATTTTTTTGCACATATACACGACTCTTTTTAGTGACCGCTGGTACATGAGCTGCCATATTCACTACCAGAAGGAGAGCTGCTGGAATACACAAAGGAGCAGCTCTGGGGCTTCAGGCCAGAAGAACTTCCTCGCCATATGTTATTTTTTTATTATTAAAGATAAAAGGTCAACTCTTTTAAAAGTCCGTCTCATAAAACCTCTAGAGGAAAAACAAAACTTTATGTTAGAGCACAAATGTCAGACTGGAGAGATGGCTCAGAGGTTAAGAGCACTGGCTGCCCTTGCAGAGGTCCTGGGTTCAACTCCCAGCAACCACATGGTGGCTCACAGTCATCAATAATGGGATTGATGCTCTCTTCTGGCATGCAGGTGTATAAAAGTACCATATACATAAAATAAATAAATCTTTTTTTTTTAAAAAAAGAACACATATGCCTTCAGTGAATACACTTTTAACAGTTATCTCCCCATGTTTGGTTCCCAGTACTCATGATGGTTTACAACCCTCTAGAACTACAGTTCAGTGGGCTTCAGTGCCCTCTTCTGACACCAAGCACACAAGTAGTACACATACATAAACACAGGCAAAATACTAATACACAAAAAACCAAAAATAAATCTAAGAAAAGGTTTTAAAAGTTAAATCAAGCCAGTTGTGGTGGCACATGCCGGCAGGATTTGCTGAAGGAGGCAGAGGCAGGAGGATCACGAGTTCAAAGCCAGCCTGAGTTACACATTCTTTTTTTTTTTTAAATCTAATTGATAGCCAAGGAGGAATTTTCAAAGAATTATGGTCCTTCAGTTCAAATACCAACTGATAATTTCCCAAATGTGACAGAAGGGTTCCATTGTTCAGGTAATATAATTATCTCTTGGCATTTATTCTGATAAAAGGCAGTGGTGGCACATGCCTTCATCCCAGCACTCAGGGAAGCAGAGGCAGGTGGATCTCTGTGAGTTCAAGACCCGCCTGGTCTACAGAATGAGTTCCAGGACAGCCAGAGATACACAGAGAAACCCTGTCTCAACAAACAAACAAACAAATCTCCTTTTATATTAAAATAAACTAAATATAATATATAACACTGGCCAATATAAACACTGGCCAATAGACTAATATAGCCTCATTTATCACGATGTAATTCTGCCCTTCAAATCGTAGTTCTAGCACCACTTAAGCATCTAAATATTTTTATTTATTACTCAGAAGCTTATTCCTGGACACTTCTGGTTTTTGAGACGAATGGTCACGCTCACACATGAGGAAGAGAGGCTACTGGGATTCCTTCAGCTCACTAGTATATTTTCAGAGCAAGCATCATTTGACCAGAACATCCTAGGATGGGAAGCTGGAACTTAACCCAGCAGGGAAGTCACAAGTAGAGCTCACTAGACCCTTACCAATGTCACAATGCAACTGTGCAACACCAGCACTTGGGGGAACTGTCCGGGTCGAGACTCTCAGTGCAATCAGAAGTCTAGCAGGACTGATGCTGCTCACCAAAGCGTGACGGCACAACGCTTACCAGTCTGCAAAGACCCTTTTTCTTCTTGCTTCAGCCTTGCCGAATACTAGGGTCTTAGGCCTGTACTGGCACACCCAACTCCATTTCCAGTTCTAAAAGTGGAACTGAACAACCTTTTAAAAAATACTTATTTTCTGTGGATTGAAACTATACCAACTCATGGAAATTGCTTTAAAAAAATAAGATTTAGTAAACACTTTTGTAGGTCATGGCATATTTCTATAAAGTCTAATTTTTAAATGGTTTCAAATAAAGCAGCACTATATAATGACATTGTCTTAGGGTTTCTATTGCTGTGAAGAGATACCATGACCACAGTAACTTTTATAAAGGAAAACATTTAGTTTGGGTGGCTTACAGTTTCATAGGTTTAGTCTATTATCATCATGGAAGGAAAAATTGCAGCGTGCAGGCGGGCATGGTGCTGGAGAAGGAGCTGAGAGTTGTACATCTTAGTCCACAGGCAACAGGAAGTGAACTGTGACAGTGGGCATACTTGGGGATATGAGACCTCAAATCCTGCCCCTACAATGACACTCTTTCTCCAGCAAGGCCACACTTCCTAATAGTGCCACCCCCTTTGGGGAATATTTCCTTTCAAACCACCATAGACATAGATCTTACTTTTTCTTTTGTTGGGAATTCTTCTTTTTATTAGTTGTCATTTTTCTCCAATCAAAATCTGAATCAATTTATGAGATGAAAAATTAAAAACAAGTTCTTATGAATTAAAATGATATATGATGAAAAGTTAAAATCCAGCTAGGCGGTGGTGGCACATACTATTAATGTCAGCACTCAGGAGGCAGAGGCAGGCAGATCTCTGTTGTTTGAGACAAACCTGGTCTACAGAGGGACCTCCAGGACAAGCTCCAAGGCTACAGAGAAACCCTGTCTTGAAAAACCAAAATATAAACAAACCAACAAATAAATAATGAAATAAAATCCAGACATAAACTACTAAACATGTAGGTCAAATAAATTAGCAAACTTATTAGGGTCTTCTGTTTATTAAATACAAAAAAACAGTATTACAAAGATTATAAAGGGGATCCCAGGTCCAAAGAGAGATCCCCAGATTGTTCTCTGGACAGAGGAGAGGGTGCCTGAACCGGCCTTGGCCCATAACCATACTGATGAATATTTTGCATATCACCATAGAACCTTCATCTGGTGATGGATGGAGATAGAGACAGAGACCCACATTGGAACACTGGACTTAACTCCCTAGGTCCAAACGAGAAGCAGAAGGAAAGAGAGTGTGAGCAAAGAAGGCAGAACCAGAGGGAACCTTCACCTGTTGATGGATGGGGATTGAGACAGAGACCCACATTGGAGCACCGGACTGAGCCCCCAAGGTCTAAATGAGGAGCAGAAGGAGGGAGAACATGAACAAGAAAGGCAGGACCGTGAGGAGTGCGTTCACCCACTGATACAAGGGGACTGATCTAATGAGAATTCACCAAGGCCAGTTGGACTGGGACTGAACGAGCACATGATCCAACCAGATTCTCTGAATGTGGCCGGATTCTCTGAATGTGGCTGGCACGGGGTCTTTCTGAAAAGCCATTGACAATGACACTGGGACTTGTTTCCTCTGCATATACTGGATTTTTGGGATCCAGTCTGTTTGGATGCTCACCTTCCTGGACCTGGAGGGAGGGGGGCGGAACTTGAACTTCCCACAGGGCAGGAAACCCTGACTGCTCTTAGGGATGGAGAGGGAGTAGGAGAGGGAGTGGGGGGAGTGGGAGGGTGTTGGGAGGAGGGGCGGAAATGGAAACTTTTATAAATTAATAAACTTTTATAAATTAAAAAAAAGAAAGCGTTGTTTAGAATGGACTGCTGGTGAGAGATGGGAACAGATTGGGAGAAGTCAACTTAAAAGATTACTAAGGGCTCTGCAAGGTGGCTGTGGATGCACACCTCAGCTGAGGAGAAAGAGTGCCTAGCACACACAAGGCCCTGGGCTCTACCACACAGCTTGTTATAGTGGCACCTGTCTATCATCTCTGCACCCCAGAGATGGAAGCAGGAGGGTCAGAAGTTCAAAGTCATCCTTAGCTGAGCTGGAGGTAACATGAGATTCTATCTCACAAAATAAAAGCCTGGAATGTTCTCATGCTCAATTCAGTCAGTACTCAAGTCATTTCAACTACAAAACTATCATTGCTAAAAAGAAGAGTTCCCAATAATAAAAAAGAATTAAGATATGTATTCATGTATGCTACTAATATTTTGTAAATTATTTTTTAAGGGGCTGAGGATGCAGGTCAGTTCAGGCAGAGACGTTGTCTAGCATGCATAAGACCCTGGATTCAAAGTCTGGAATATATCATTGAACGTTGTGGCATATGCTTGCAGAGCCAGCACTGGGGAACTGGAAGCAGAAGAAGAAGGAATTCAAGGCTGCACCTGAATCCGAGGGCATGCAACACCACATGAGACATCGTCTTTAAAAAACAAGTAAATAAAAGAAAAATTAATTATTGATTAAGAATTGTGTTTGATAGGATTATCTTAGAATACAGGAAAATGGACACCAAGTCTTACTAAATATTTTCATAGTGGTTTGCAGGGCAGGTGTATAGTACATCTACAAAAAGCATGCACGAAAGATGTCAGGCTGGACACCAGGTCACATAGCACTTTTGCTCTCTAGTAAGACTATGATCATTCTTACCTCCCTATCTTTGCCCTTCTGTTTTTTTCACTTCATAAGCAGAAATTAAGGATTTAAAAAGTAGCTGGGCGGTGGTGGCTCATGTCTTTAATCCGAGTACTCAGGAGGCAGAAGTAGGCAAGTCTCTGAGGTTGAGGCCAGCCTGGCTGTTACTTTCATTGAGACAAAGAAAACCATGTTTGCTCAGCTGAAGAATAATGACAGTGATCTGAGAACCAGTCTCATTCAAGAGAAAATTAAAAACAAGAATAAAAGGGAAATTGTGTTGAAAAATGCAGCAACTCGAGTTTTTTGTTTGTTTGTTTTACTATTTTTTTTTTTTCCTTTTTAAGTCACTAGGACGGCTCAACAGAAGAATCAAGGAATCTGGGCTAGAGAGAGGGTTCGGGGAGTGAAGGACTCGCTGAGCAAACATGAGGACCGTGTCAGATCGCCATCACCCATGGAAAACACGCATCTGTCACCCCAGCACTGGGAGAGTGGAGACAGGAGGGTCCCAGGGACTCAGCCAGTCTACAGGAAACATTGAAGTCCGGGCACAGCGCGAGACCCATCTCACAAAGCAGCAGAGGAAAGTGACAGAGGAAGCCACCTGCCCTCAGCCTCTGGCCCTCACAGTCATCGCAGGCAAGTACACGTGCACATATATGTGCACACACATACAGCACCACAGACTAAACAAATAAAATATAATGATGTCTAAAAGCAGAATCAAAGAACAAAAGACAGATTGACAGAAATTATCTATTTGAAAAACAAAACCTTCTGGTCGGTGATGGCGCACGCTGTGAATTCGAGACTAGCCGGATCTACAGAGGGAGTTCCAGGACAGCCAAATCTGTTACACAGAGAAATCCTATCACAAAAAGAGAGAGAGGGAGAGAGGGAGGGAGAGTGGGAGGGAGGGAAGGAAGATGGAAAAAAAAGAAAACAAAAAACTAAAAACAAAACACAAAACCATATCTAGGCATGTTCTAAACTGTTAAAAGTCAAAACCAGAGAAAACCTTCCAAGGAGAATGTGTGACGGTGTAGCAAAGAAAGGTCAAAGGGCAGGGAAATTCTGAATCTATAAAAACTATGCTTTAAAAATGCCAGCGAGTGGAAAACTGAACATGAAAAGGAAGCAGAGGCTTCGCAGTGAGCACTGTTAGCACAAGTGCCTCACAGAGGCCAAGGGAAGTCTTCCAGGCTACGGAAGTGACACCAGACAGAAACTGAAATCAAGAGGAAAATGGTGAGAAAGGTAAATATTTGTCCCACAAAAATGGCAGAAAGCTACAAACCATGACTTCAGTATGGAATTACTGTCCAAAATATATAACGAACACAAGAGAAAGTCAAACAGTCTAGTTTAAAGATGGGGACAGAACTTAAACAGACATTTCTTCAATAATGTGAAAATTA